CCCCAAAACCCCAAAACCCCTCAAATCCCAAAATTCTGATGTTAAAATTTCAATTAATGTATGATAAAGTGTTTATATAAAATATCTAAATGTTAAGTTTTAAGTCGTAAGACTCAGGCTTTTGGCTAAAGTTATCTTCAGACTTATTGTTCATTTCCATCTAGTTGTAATCTTTTATCACGTTCAGAAATCTGAGACTGGTAATGATGACCAATCTGCCTTGGCAATTTGCATCATCATAGAGAGGAGGGCGACAACTAGTACAAGGGTAAGTTGGGTATGAGAGTTCATAATATTATATCTTATTAAATTATTATAAATATTTATTTTAGACTGCCTATGTAGTTAAAAATGTTTTGCCAAAGAATACTATTGGCTGTAATATGTTTACATCTGAATCCAGCTATAGGAATGAAACTAGATGTTAATATGTAATAAGGAGTTGAGGAAAGAAATATATCGGTAAAAATTAATCATCATACTAATAGTGGAACTGATGCAAGAGTATTTAATCTAAGATTCTTAATCGACTTCACTTATTTTGATCCCCATTAAGGATGCATTCTTTTTTATGCTGGAGGGTATAATGATATTTGGCAATATTATAACAAGTCAGGATTCATAACATAAGTCTTGGCCAAAGAATTGAAAGCTCTGATACTATTTGGAGAACATAGATATTTTGGAAAATCATTTCCTTTTGGTGACTCAAATACTAGTTTTGATGGGGAAAATGTTGCCTACCTAACAGTGGAGCAAGCTATGATGGATTATGTTATCCTTTTGAGAATAATTCGTACATAACTATTTCAATAGTATAAAGTAAAATCAGATTATGCAGCTATTGTAGTGGGTAGCTCATATTCCGGACTTCTAGCAGCTTGGCTTCGTATTAAGTTTCCATCAACATTTTAAGGTGCACTTGCATCATCTGCCCCAATGAGAATGACTGATAACTTATCTATTGACCCAAGTGCATTTCATGTCCAAATCACTAAGATATATGAATAAACCAATAACAAGTGCCCTGATTTGATACGAAAAGGATTTAGTGCTTTGATTTCTTGGAGTTAAGATCAAAGTAGGTTCAAAGAATTATAAGATATATGGGACACATGCCGTGAGCCTAAGACTGAAAATGATGTCAAGAATATTATAACTAAGGCTACTCTTTCTTTGACAAAATTAGCAGTGGTTAATTACCCTTATCCAACACATTTTATGGCTCCCTTGCCTGCTTGGCCAGTAGCAGAAGCTTGTACTAAAGCATTAGCTTTGTTGCCTGAACATCCTCAGCTAAGTGATTACATAAAAGCATTAAGCTCAATTCATAAAACTTTCAAGTGGCCAACTTGTCTACCACTTCCAGAAGATGAAAGTGCTTCATTATACAATCAAGTATACGACTACTTCCACTGCAATTAGATGATTTCAAATTCTCTATATACCCGTAATGGAGTAAGTGATATGTTTTTGCCAGCCTAAGATTGGGATCAAGAAGAAATGACAAAATGGTGCTACGATAAGTACAAACTTATTCCACAATATGACTGGGTCCTTGATAATATTGGAGGAAGAGACCCTAAGAAAGACTTTTCTTCGATTGAGAATATTATATTCAGCAATGGAGAGATAGACCCTTGGCTTTACGGAGGAATAACAGAAGAGATAAATGATAGAATCAAAGTTATATTGATTCCAAATGCAGCTCACAGTTTAGACTTGGCTACACCGAACAGTGCTGATCCTCCTTCACTTATCTAATCAAGATTAGAAGAAATTGAAACAATAAAATCATGGATCCTAAAGTATGATAGCATTGGTATATCATAAATAATTAAACCAAAACAAGAGTTGTGATTGCTATGTTTTTATATAATACACTCCATCTACGGCTTTAAATAAAAGATTAATATGCAGAATGAATCTGAATTAAATTGACATATGTAAATTTATATTATTTACAATAAAAATACTCACTCATGGGGTTTTGGGGTTTTGGGGTTTTGGGG